TTAGGAGCAGAACTGGGATCAAACCCCGCTGCTTTGGTGCCAAACCAGGATCCAACCCCAACGCTCGGCTGTCTCCGAGCCCACAGTGCCTCCAGCTGGCATTCCACCGCCGCCAAACCCTCACCTCCCTCCTTTTTTTAGGATCTGTTCCTATTTTTAAGCCCCCAAACCCACCTGAGCAGCCCCTGTGGCCCCGGGCAGGACCGTGGTGGGGTCCCCTCCACCCAGGACTGTCCCCAGGCCGAACAGGGCCTGACCCGAGAAGGGCTCTGCAATTAGGTGCGGGTGTACATAGTTTAATTAGTGCCAGGATTAAATATTAATTAGCACGTGCTGGGTGACAGAGCCTTTCCCCAGTGCTCCGGTGGGAGCTGGGATTTTCCAGCCCCGTGTCGTGCTCGGGTCAGGGTTTTTGGGAAAAACATTCCACCCTTGAAATAAATGCCTTGTGCTGGTCCAGGGGGTGGGTGCAGGAGCTCCTCACTCCCTCCTCTGCTCCTGGAGCAGCCAAATCCACTGGGAAAAGCTGAAATTCACGACTTTTTATGGCACAACCAGTTTCCTCCCGGCTGGGCTGGACTCGGGAGCGTGGCTGCACTGACACCCCCTCCTTGGACACCCCAAAATGTTCCTCTGACCCACTGTAGAGGGGATTGCACCCCAGGGAAAGAGGGGGTGCGCCCCCAGCTCGAGTGGGGCAGCAACCCCGTCCCTGAATAAAAGCCAAGAGCCACAACTGGAAGAAATTTAAAGGGGAATTTAATCCTTGGAAAACAGTGACAGTTCTGGACGGCTGCATGTCCGGACCCACCCTCTGGGGCCTCCCCTGCCCCCCAAGGAAGGAAGATCATCAATAACTCCTTAATTCCCCCACCCCAACGCCTTCATCAAGGGGGTGCAACTCCTGCCCATGGCACCCCCAAAACGCCACCTTGGGGACCACTGGGGCACAGGGAGCCATTGGGGGGGACAAACCATGAGCTGACCTCTAACAGAGACAGCTGCAACCCCCCCACACCCAGGCACCCCACGGGGGCCTGCTCAGGGACCCCAACTTCTCATCCAGACCTCAGAAGCCCCCGGGGGTGCCTGTGTTATTTGGGGGAGC